GGAGCTCTTAAAATTGTATCGAATGAAAAAAGAGACAACATGAATATCATGAATACGGAAGAAGAATAAGGCTCCCCCTTTCATTATCCCCAATCTCTCCCTCTATAAAACGCATTGTAAGAACTCACGTCCTAAGCGAGATTCTGCAGACCGTTCTCAATTCCAGCGAGAAAAAAAAGATATCAACCAAGAATATTTTTCCTTCCGTCGCGACGGAGACATTTTTTGCAGCGTGATGCAAATAAAACAACCGTGAGGCTTGTTTTCTTCACTCTCATCTCCATATCCGTCTATTTCCAAACGAGATGCCGCATCTCTTTTTAGGCAAGGTTCCGACCAATTTTCCAGGAATACTTAGGTTGCTAGGATGACTAAGGAGGGTGATATTGAACACCTCTCTAGGCACTTTCATGGTTTGATTGCTTGCCATCATCAAAAAGATCGCTTCATTTTAAATAGTAATAAAGGCATTTGTAGGGTGACGGATGGGCAGCGAATGGGAAAGAGGATGCCGAAGAAGAAGGACAAAATGCGGGGTCGGCATGAGCCTTTTGGAAAAAAGAAGGACGCCGGTCGGTATTCAGGTCATGAACTCTCAAAATGAATCCAGTCCGGTGTCTTGCGTGAAAAGAGATCATAATTATAATACTCGGGGCCCAATATAACATATATTTCAAATTCGATACAAGAATCGACTGCGCATTTAAACCGAGCAATTAACATCGCTATTTGAAACAACTTATGAAATGCTGCGTCATTTTGAAGAAAAAGTTAAGGGGAAGATCACCATCGCAGACTTACGAAAAATTAAAACTCTTTTGTACTGCCTCAGAAATTATGTTCGGATTACGTCATTGTAATGTTCCTAAATTTGAAAAGAGGACGCACTAGGCTACAGAGTACCCAGCTTGCGCATGAGGTCCACCGTGAAATCGTTCAAGCAGCGGGCTCGTACATGTCAAATTCTGTGTTTGGCGCTGGAGTGATCACCACGCCACTGTTTGGTGCAAGCAACCTTGACAACATAGACAATATGACATCACACTTTGGTATTGGAATTGCCTAGGGAGCTCAGATTCATTTTTTCGAATATTTGTTGCGATCATGTTCAAGAATACACTCATGATTATAAGTTTGATTCATTTAGAGCGTCCCGTCTATTCAGAAAGCAAAATTAATGGATGATGTTCAGTACCGAATCTGGACTGGACGAATTGAACATTTTGTAATATTTTACACACTTCGCTTCAGCAACAGTAATATGCAGTAAGACGCCTCGGGCATTTCCCCAACTCCCCCTTAATGCGTGACGCAGCAACGGTTTGTTTGTTTCGCCCTCTCCAACCCATCGATTCGCGCCCTGTAGTACCATTTCGATTTTCGTCTCAAATTATATTTTAGTTTCCGGAATACCGCCTTCTCCTACTTTTTCCTTTCTCCTTTCCATCGTTCTTCGCGCGCAAGAAACTGTCAAACGTAAAAATAACAATGGCAATCAAATTACGCTACCATTTTTTTTTTTACAGTGTCTACTCGAAGTACAAAGCATACTGCTAGGCACAGTATAAAAATTTAAGATAATTGAATATTGTGAGTTTTGTGACTATTCACATTTTTTGGAGAGAATACTTTTTTCTTTCATTAACATGCTCCCCTTTCTCAGCTCTCTGGTTTTGAGTATTATTTTTTCTTCCTTCCACCTGTCATTCACACAACCTATTATGTAGATATATTTCATGTATAACCAGACTTAAGCTCCTGTTGATTAAGAGGTGACGTTTTACCTCACCATCAATTTTCAAATGTCATAATGCTCGAGTCTCATATAATATATAGATGAATTCTTTCAATTATTTACACCCATTTGCCTTCACCCCATCTTCAAGCATTCTCCTTCTACACCGCCCACATCTTTCGTCCTTGCACTCTCTTTTTTCCCTCTCTCTCTCTCTCACTCAGCTTTTTATCATTCGATCTCTTCCTTCATCCACCCTTTCTTTAACCTTCTCTGTATCTCTATCACCCTTTCTCTCTTTCTTTCCCTTTATTTTTTTCATTCTCTTTCTCTATCTCTTTCTCTCTCTCTCTCTCTTTCCTCCTATTTCTCCTTCTCTCTCTCTTTCTTTCATCACGATAATCCTGATCCCTCCCGGCGACCCAGACAAGTGCGTGAAAAATTATGCAAAATCAGAAGAGCGGCCCGCTTTCCCGCGCAATATTTTAGACTCTCTTGGCCTCTCATTACGACCCATTTTACGTTACGATCTCAAGTAAATAAGGCCAGAACCGTGACCTCAAAATGACGGGCTTTTTAAACTAGATAAATGTGTGTAATCCTTTGGGAAACCGAAATCATTTTTTTATCTCGCATGAAATAACCATCATAAATCTTTCGAAGTTTCGATAGTTGGACCATGGACTTATAAGTCCATGGTTGGACGCTCCACGTGCAATGAGTCTGTACTTTCACTCACTTTATCTCAGACAGAAATATAGTTCATAACATCGAAAGTTGGTCTGAAAACGCAGACAACCCAACACGCCTCGCCTCCAATTTGCACTTTTCACTCATACCATTTGGGTCTTGACTTGAAATGCTGCTGGGACGGACAGCGTAGCTTTCCCTCGCATCAAGATCATCGGCCAGTAACGTGAAGCCGTTCCTGGAATAACTCACCATCACTATCAGTGGCGTATCCGGAGTAAGAAAGGGGAGGGGGAGAGGGTGAACCCCCTAAATGACATAATTACTTTGGAAGAAAAAGCAAGTCCTTTTGAGAATGAGTCTTGCGTTTCCGCGTACAATTATTTTTCAATTCCTGACTCACAACTACTGCGATATAATGGAGGCTGCATTTTTCCTTGATCCAAAATATATTAATAAGGGGGCGAATTGCCCACTTGCCCCCTCCTCAAATACCAAATACCCTAGTGTTCGCTATCAACAGTCAAGGAACAACAACGGTGACCATAGTAAACTATCATCGTCCTTTGGCTGGACATGGGACTTCTTGCTCGCGTGCAGGCCGCCAATTATAGAAACTGCCATAACCGCACATAATGAGCAATCAATCACGGATAAAAAGCTTTTGAGGAAACGGAGCGAAAAGTAAAACAACTCGGCGATAACCACACACTGTAATACAAATATTCCCCGGTTAACAACTCAAGCTCGAAACGATAATGCCCCTTTTCAAAGTAGCACTTAAATCATACGTATATTATACAAGGTTGGGCGATGTTATCCATGAATATTTTATTACTTTATCTCCATTTCAAGGGAGAAAGAGAGGAAGAAATAAATACTGAATGACTCTCTTAGGTTCAGGGTTTATTCCTCGTTGGTTTAATTTCATAAAAAATCTTAATAAATTCCTTTATAAGTGCATGAGCATAGAGTAGAAGACCTAGAAACTCGAAGGCCTATCATTGTATATGATCATTAAATCTCGACCATTTTTTATCAACATGTAAAATGTCCTCTCAAAATTTCTACTAAAAATAGTTAAAATTACAAGGAGATAATCAATCTTGTGTCGTTTTGAAATAATGTTTTCGACCGTAACGTCAACCACGAAAAAGTGTGAACGATAGTTTCGACAGACTAATAGATTCGACTAGGTATATGCCTTTATTCGCGATAAAGGGAATACATGTATTTATTCTGGCAGGAAATAACTTACGAATGATACGATACTATTTTAAGAAACAAAAAAATATTTACCGCATTAGACAATGGAATAATCATTTTGTCATGCCATCACGCTTGCGATGAATAAATATAACATGTCACCTACTTATTACCAAGGAAGATAAGCATACCACTTGACCTCTGTATCTCTTCGCTAATTATGATAATCATTTTGCTATTGATAGGGGAGTGATTGCTCAGTCATCAACTTAAAAAACGAGCTTCTTTGCACATAAGCATTGCGCGAGAGCGTGTATGCACGGGGGAGGGTGGCGACATGGGGGGGGGGGGATTTTGCGGGCTGGGGTCTCTGCTATTTTTGTTTCTTTTTGTCGCAAGAAGACTATTAAGTGAAAACAGTGCCCCATTCCCCTGCCCCCTTGAGTCCAGCCATTGGAGAGGTAATGGCATCATGGGGGATATCATTGCCAGGTACATGAAATGGAAGAGAACGAAAAGTAGGAGATATTTTCTTGAAAAGTGGCATAAAGTAGGTATAGTGTAGAATACAATAATCATGTTGACGTTTCCTTTCCCCATCTTTTTTGTTGTTCTTTAACTAAATCCAATGTTTTTATTGGTGTTGTTTTTTTTTTTGTGGGGGGGGGGGGGGGGTATGTGACCATGTGTCCACTGTAGCTACATCACAATCCTTCACTACAGGAATGTATCGAGATCTGACACACCATGTAGTCAATTACGGCGATATGGACTACAAATTTCTCCCTCCAAATGTCTAGATGAGGCGACCGAGCAAATCGGCATTTTGGGGCCAAAGGAATGACGGTAGTACCGTCAGCAGAGCTGTAAGTGATGGAGGTGATTATTTTCTTCATCAACAATAGCGATGGGCAAAGGGCTGGCGCGATTTGTAAGATCATGGACCACGGTAAGACAATGAGAGAGTGAGAGGGTAGCCAAATTGCCTTCGACGCCTTTTCCAAGTCATCGTAATTTACAGATGCACAAAATCATGCAATTTGAGAGGCACTCCGCGGTAGCTGTACGCGCTTTTGAACTTCATCACGAGCATAAACACGACAAAGCGGCACCGAAAAATACTACGTACGGCTTCGAGTAGGTCGGGAAATGCATGGGCAATGCCCCCTTGCCCCACCCCTCCCTATGTTTTAGCTTTTATTTTCCTTTTTTGTCGTTTGGACGCAACCATATCCTGCAATTTGAGCCTGATGAGTGACGACGACAATTTGCCGATCGTTCATTGATAGATGATCCATGATCACGTTCCTGGCAGACGACCATAATAAATGTGAGTGCGGATTTTGGCGCGCCTTTTTATCTCTTTTCTTTCTCTTTCTCTCCCTCTCTCTCTCTCACTCTTTCCCCTTCTATCTTCTTCTCCTGAAGTCTCTCTCATCGTAAAACTAAAACGCTCTCCCACGACTTCTCTCTACACCACCTCTCTCTTCTTGCATCCCAACTTCTCTCTCCCCCTCCCTCACCCTCTAGCTAACTAGTCATCCCCACTCTTCTTCTCTCTCTCTCTCTCTCTCTCTCTCTCTAACTTGGAAGGCTCCTGCATTATCAATCCATAACATCCTTTTTGTTTTGTTTTCATCAAAGTACCATGATCATTTTGATGACCAAATCTATTGTTCACTACTTTCCTTAATCTATCTTGTCTGGCGCCTGTAATATCTCTTCTCAATCTTGCTCACTCTCTCTCTCTCTCTCTCTCTGTCTTTCTCAAATGATCTTTTATTCATTTCATAACGTGCGAATGTTTTGCCTCTGTTCCCACTTCCTAACCTAGAACAAAGTTTCTGTTTCAGTTACTTTAGTTTTCTTTCGCAATCACGTGAAGAAAAGCCCCGAATGTGCATTAATCACTCTCTCTCTCTCTCTCTCTCTCTCTCTCTCTCTCTTCTTCTTCTTCTTCTGCATTTTACGTGTTAGAGGTTCTTGGCAATATCTTGCGCGTCTTTGCCGCGCCGAACGTTAGAAACATCGCTCAGTCTTCTCTCTCAACTCGTTCACCCCCCCCCCCCCCCCCATCTGCATCTGTCCCTCGCTCTCCCCTCTCTCCTCCGTCGTCATTCGGGCGTTTTCTTCACGTCTTTTCTCCAATTTCCCTGTTTCTCCGTCGCAATCGGAGCATTTCTTGCATCGTTCAACCATGATTAATCAGACCCGCTTGCTCCAATCGAGCATAGCTTGCTATCCCCTGCATTTAGCCTTTCTCCAAGACTTATTGTGAACAAAATTTCTACACGCCTTTCCAACTTTTCAAAGTTCAGTACTTTTTTTACATTTAACAAAATAGGCGTAATTTAGCTTGGCTTAGGGACAAAATTTAATGGTTTCCATGGCATTTCGAAAGAAGGATGTAAAATTGGGAACTTACCTATAAATCCGTTCAAAAATCCGTGACGAGTTAGCCCCAAAAGCCGGGCTCAAAATGTTCCTTTCTCCCTGCGTACGTCTATACGAGCGCGACTAGGCCATACCAATTGACGCAGATTTAGTGTTGTTTCTGCAAATTAAAAGAGGATAACAATAAATTTTGTTACAAAATTAAGTAAAAGAATTGGCAAAAAGAAACGGTCAGTTTGTCAGTTCTCCCACCAATGCACTCTGTTTGTAAAATGGTAATCAGATCATGTTTGGAATACGTAATACATCATTGCAACATTGGCACATATATAATTATCATAAATGCAGGCGAAGAAAAAGGGTATATCGAAATTGCATGAGGTCTATTTTTCGAAAATCTTTGCGATCGCGTTCACTGACCTACGCCCTTATGGCACATGAGAAATAGAGCGGGAGATTAGAATCATTCAAGGCCTTGCCTATTTTGGCAGGCGTGTTCATCACAATTCAGAGTTAATGACGAAACAATAGGATGTCGGGGGAAAGATGTTGCTCTATTTTCTACCATAATCATATCAAAATCGCGCACATGTCAAAATCGAGACGAAAATGTAAAATAAATTCAGTGCTCCCTACATCAGATTTCAACCTTACTTTTTCACATCAACATTTACAATTAACCTGCGACGTGTGAAGTACTGAAATGATATAGATCTAGCAAGTGTGATGCGACCTTATAATGTGCTATATCAAATTATGTTTTCATGGGGATTATCACATATTCTTCGGTTTATTGGCTGTTATTCATGTGGTAATATTGGTCGAAGGGCACAATATGGAAAGGAAATTAATACTTGAACACAACACGGTATCGATATTCTCAGCTCAAACCAGTTTTAAGTCCATGCTAATAAAGGTTTCATGACACAAAATCCCTTATCAGTCGCGCCGTATTATTCCGTCCTCATCATTTAAAGTATGACCGACATTACGCCTCATTGCACAATGGTTCATTTGTGTGAAATAAATTGGGTATTAATGAATATGATTATGAATCTTTCGAATTCATTTCATTTTTAGGGATGCGATACATTGGAAATAAATACCAATAGGTAATCATTGGCCTATTCTAAATTAAAACGTGGTTTCGTGACACAAGAACTTTAATAATTAGGTCACGCCCTATATTCCACCTCATTATTTTAAATGTGACCGACATTAAGGATAATTGAAAAAAGGTTTCAACTGAGTCAAATAAAATTGGGTATTAATGAATATTAATATATTTAACTCGCAGCAGAATTCATTTATGTGGAGGGGGCAAGGTGACGGGAATGATTACTTCAATATAACCAAGCTAAAAGGAACAAGACACCTACATATTTTAGTCGCTCTCTCTTATTATTCCACTACCTCATCAGTTTAAATGTGACCGACATTACTCCTCATTGCACAATTATTGCTCTATTTGTGTGAAACCCATTGGCTATTAATGAAATATGAATACTGATATCACAAAATTCATTTATGGGCGTAGAATGCGATGGAAATGAATACTTCAATATGACCCAGCTAAAACGACACAAGACCCCTAAATATTTCAGTCGCGCCCTATTATTCCACCACCTCATCATGTTAAATGTGACCGACATTAAGGCTCGTTGCACAATGGTTTCATCTGTGAGGAATAAATTGGGTTGATCTCTTCACGTCTCACGAACGTCGAGGTGCCAACTCGTTTGGCCTCAGATCACATGATCGTGGGCAATTTAATCTAATGGCGAGGGGTGCATGATGGAATGACGATATGGATGTAGAGGGGCGGGGTGGGTGCTCATAGTATCAATTTTCAAGTTTATTTTCCCACTTTATCAAAAATAACATAATAATTATAACTAATCATACAATAAAGGAACATAATGTACATGGTAATAGTTATAACAAAAGATAATCATAAGTACGATAATTTCTTTGAAAAAGCTAAATAAAGTGGGGGATCTACTAAAAAGCAAAGCTAAGGGGTTTAGTCAGTATTCGAATTTTGTGGAATGGTAATTAGGGATGAAGAGAAAGAAAGAGGGGGGGGGGGGGATCGGGTGGGGACCGAGGTCGGTAAGGGAAAGATTTTAGGGAAGGGTTGGTGATTATTCCAAATTCACCCCCACTTAGTGCAAAAAAATTCACCAAAATTAAATGTCCTGCATAAAATAATCATCACACATCTTATCTCCTTTTCAAAAAACGGGCACCACTACAGAAGATAAAGTTGGCAGTTCGGGACCATGATGCAATTTTTGTTAAACCGCGCATTATGTTGTTAACATGCTCTCATCGTTGCGTCATAAGTTAGCCGTGCCCATCCCAGAGGCAGAATTCCCTCCCCTGCAACGAAATGACATCATCCTCCATATTGGGGCGGCAGATATGATTGACTGCCCGAGCGCATTAAAGTCGAAGATAAATAGCCTTCTGAACATGCAGCATGCGATTTGCATTGTCAAAGAAACAGTCTGCATGGGAACGATTGGCAAAGGATCATAATGTAGGACATTAAATGTGATGTACAGTATATACTGTGAGGTTTTGGAATAAAAAATAAATACTGTACACAAATACATGTATGTGGGACTACAACAAGAACTTGGTATTACAGTCTGGTCTAAACATTTCAGCTATTTAATGTCAAATTTCAAACATCGTCTTTTCAAGAGCCATCCTTTTCAGAGGACACTCTTCATATGATTTTTTTCCACCCTGACATAAATTTAAACGTCTGAAAAAATCTCACAAATCATAATATTTTCATCTTTCAAAGAACTCGACTCTTTCTTTAACGGGTCCGTAACTCGAGCCTACTTGACTAATCGGTGACGGGATCCCGCTAGATATGGCTGTCATCACGTCACGTTTTGTTGCAAGGTCATGACCCCATCTCAGGCGGGCGTCGTCTGTACCGGGTGCGGAACGACGAGCGAGACGAGATGAATACATTAAAATGTAATGGGGATGGAGGGATGGATGGAGAAGGAGAGAGAGTGGGGGGGGGGGGGGCGGGGAAAGAAAGAAAGAGAGAGACAGACAGAGCAAGAAAGAGATGACGTGAGAGCGAGAAAGATGTGGGACTGGGTTGACGGGATGGATAGACATGGGGGAATGGAAAGAGTGAGAGATTCGGCGAGGGCGAGAAAGATGGACATTACAATAAAATCGGAATGGAGGAACTGATGGACAGGAAAGAATCAAGAGAATCTGAGAGAGAGAGAGATAGATAGATTCAACGAGGGTGAGAAAGATATTGACACAAGGGAGACGAATGAAATAACAGCACACAAGGATTGAGGCGATGAAAATGTATGATAAACAACAAATAACATCTAAAATTTGTATCAAAGGAAAGGAAAGAGCCGGAAACATTAAGAGAGAGAGAGAGAGAGAGAGAGGGGGGTAGTATTACAAATCAATGAGAATTGGTCTGTTTTGGTTTGATATTAATTATCTGAGTTATCTGTTATTCCTAAAACTAAAACATGTTCCCTAAAATCCGTTCAAACCATTACGTGAAAACCTTGTTCTCTATCCATAGTTAATTTTTCTCCGCTTCACCCATTTGCTTCTAGTATTGGCCTTCCTCACTAAAACACATTGATCGACCTTCCTATCTTCATTAGCACGTCCTAAAGCGTTAATTCTACTACGCAAACCGCTCTTATGGTTTTCCCTCTTTTTCATTCATTCTAGTACAATAGACATCTCCACGAATCTAAAAATGGAAAAGACGTTGAGAGCGATACCCGCGGAACGTCTGTGACATTTTCAGCGTCGATACCATGGGCATTCTGTGTAAGGAATCCCGGTTTCTTTCCCTTGGCTGTGCGCAACACGGAATGAAAGCATCCCCACGGTATTGTGTCCCCGGATGACCCGTGACCTTAACTGACCGCCTTCCGAAAACACTCCCAAGGTCGCTCTAAATTCAGGCGGCTTGCTTGACCGTTCCACGCGTAGTCTCGTCTTCCAGACAGCATTAATATCGAGAGACAGCGAAAGGGTTTTATTTTCTTCAAAATCCAAAAGAAACACGCCGAAAAGGCGTAAACGACATCTAAATAGACTCAAATCCACAAGTATTGGTCGTGGTTGCTTTTTAAGAATCAAGCAGCCTTTTCACACACAGCTAAAATTCATCGTATCTAGAGATGATTAGTATAAACGTGTTTAACTCAACAGTTTTAAACATGTTTAAAGAAAATTTTCCCTGTGTGAACATCGTTTATACGATGTTGGGATAGATACGAAGTCGCGATTCATACGCCCCTAAAAGCAGGCTGCAGAAGTTCGTATCTAGAGAGCTTGGCATTTTGTGTGTGAAAGGTTAATCGTGTTTAAACGTGTTTCAGACGTGTTTAAACTGGATGGAGCGTGCGCTTTGATTGATATGACATGACCTTCAATGCGCAATGGCACTACTGCGCATTTTACGAGCAGTAGTTAATCACGAAACGATTATCGATCGCACCGAAATTTCTGATTAGTTTAAACACGTTTATACTAATCATGTTTATAGAATTTTAGCTGTGTGTGAAAAGGCTGAAGGACCTGCTTTAATAGACCAATCTTTAGCCCTGGAAAGCATCCATTAGTGATGATACTGATAGCCAAGAATACTATTATCGACGCCAGGTCAAACTGTGGATCGGAGCATGGACCTAGTACTACGAATCAGAGTTGACCAAGGTTCCTAAGTTGTTCTTTCACAATACACGGGTCTGTCGTTCTATGCAGGACACGAAACTATTTAGTCAACTTTCGTCTAATGTCAAGGTGTCAAAGGCTACCTTCGCCTTCATACTAAGAGCCGAAGAAAAGACCATCGTCATCAACATCACGATCATCATCGTCGTCATCAGCATCGTCACTCGCTGGACAACACAAAGCTCCTGAACGGTCAGACTAGCTTGGCAAGGACGGGCAAGGATGCAATGACGGATTTGGGATGGATATCACCCACGGCCAATCGAGTTTCGGGTTTAATTACCGTAAAGAATCGGCACAGGATCGAGGCAGCTGGGAAGGTCAATAGACACTCCGACTGTCACACTGTCGTAAAAAAACCGCAGAGCGATCAAGAATTGTAAGAGCCCCACGACGTTACCATGGGAT